AAAGTTCAAGGGGGCCGAATACTTTCGCAAGGCACTGTAAATTCCTTAATTAAACTACATGTTTGAAAATCATCGGTAGTCAGTCACAGGCATGTCATTTTTACTGAATTAGTTTTTGGAGATGCACGTTAGTTTGAGTTTCATCCTGCCCTGGTGTTTCAAATGGCCTTGAGCAGAGTTCACGCAGAATCAGCTCCGTATCAGTGTCACTGCAGCTGCTCTGAGGTCAGATTGCAAACACCATGTTATATTTGTGCACCATTTGCTTATTTGTGCTGTGTAAAATGTAACGTTCTGATGACGCTACTTGTGTGTATCAGTTCTAATGCTTTGTTGCCCTTATGTAACTTTTTATTTTAAGACTAAGTGTTCTTTGTTGCGCGGAGTGGCGGCAAGTTACAGCAGCTGTGTCCTCATTGTGTTCTTTTCCGTGTTTTTATGAAGTCCTGTTCTTATGGTGTTATGTTGGTTGTTTTCTATTGCTGCTGTAACACAGAAATTTCCACACTGTGGGATCAATAAAGTACCTACTCTACTCTACTCTACTCTACTTGTAAAGAAACGGCTAGTACAGGATGCCAATCGTACCTGCAGCTGAAGCTTCACTCGAGACACGCACCTCACACACTGACATGGATTGGCTGTCTTGTTTTGTGCCCTGAGCTCCATCTTACAGGCAACTTCAACGTGTCCACAGATATGAGATAAAAGGTCAAAAGAACCTGACGTAGTATTAACAAGTATTATAAAATGACAGAAGAGGAGTCAGTCTGATTTTCAGTTTTTACTGAGGGGTACAGAAAACAACATGGGCATCTGTCTAGGATCATTTTAAAAACTTAAACTATTTATTGCAGACCATAAATTACATAGTGCAAAGGTAAACTAAGACAATACTGAGCACCTAGTGGTCTTCAGTGGAACTGCAGCCTGGCAAGTGAGGATGCAGGAACCACACACTGTTGACTGTCCTGCCTTTTTTAACACATTTTGTGCTTTACAATTAATCACAGAATTTATGTGAGTTTCATTTGTGTTGCAGTAACCCAGAATCAACAGATGACAGAAACAATTTCAAAGTCTGTCTCCTAGAAAGAGCATTTATGTATAGACGGTGACACGTGAGAAGAGCCTCCTGACTGACCAAGTCACCCAACCAGCAGGGTCACTGATCAGTCAGCTGACCATTGTCCTGATGACCTGATTGATCAGTTTATTCCCAGAATATCAGCACTCTGCTGGACGCTGGGTGGTGGTTTGTCCTTTAATTTGTCACCCAGCTACAACTCATTTGAAGCAGAAAATACATTTAGACAGAAACAATGCTGAATTACCTTTTTAACACCATTGAGGAAATATGTATCTGGCAAGTTGTACAAATACCTCACATGCTAAAAATACTTGATAATGAATGTAAGAGTAAAATGTTCAGACAGCGTGTGTGTGTGTGTTTTCCCTCAGAATCCCTGAGCTCACAGTCCAGCCTCCAGCTGCAGTGGCTCAGCATCATGAGCCACTGTATGTTAAATGTTCTGTCCGTTCTGAACATAATCTAAAATACACCGTCATCATTAACCATGTAACAGTTGATCGGCATCTTTTTACACTTGTAAAGTGTCAGATTGCTGATAAATGTCCATGAACACTTCAGTGACTCATGTTTTTTTAGTGGGATAAACAGAAATCCAGTCAGTGTCGGAGGAGCTGGAACCACATGCTGGAGTTTTTAAATGAACATACTGATCACTGACTATAGCGGGGAGAGCAGAGAGTTGATCAGTGGTGTAAAATGTTCTGACTCCAGCTTCTCCTGTGTGAATGTTGTCTCCTGTCCCAGGAAACTTAGTGCTTTGGTTGTGGATGGAACCAGAACGCTGAGGGGCTCCGGGGCCTGTTGACCCCCACTGTACACGTCACTTTCATTATGCCACGCCCAGAATATGGTGGACAGATGACGTCTCATCTGGCCTGTCTGTTCTATTACTACATGTATATTCTATGCCTTTTTTAACTTGCATTGTTCTGACTTGGTGTTTACTGTAAATGTTTTGTGTTCTAATGTACAGCACGTTGTTAAGGCTGCTATATAAATAAAGTAGTGTTGTTGTTAGCCTGGAACACCTCGGGAGTCCCCCAGGAGGAGCTGGGGAGACCCTGCTGCCCTCATGACCTGACCCCTGGCTAATGGTGGATGGATGGAACCGACCAGGACTCTAGAGCTGAAATGTTTAGGTAATTCATTGACTGATAGAAAAAATGATTAGCAACAACATCTGATGAATCATTTCACTCATTTCCAGGCCAAAATGTCAGAAATGCTCTGGTAGCAGCTTCCAGAATTTCAGTACTTTTAGACATTAGAATGTGTGAATACACTGTTTTCTAACAGTTGTTTGGTGACTCAGTTAAATAATCTGCAGACTGGGTGATGGAAGAAAAGCCCCGTTGGACTTCAGTGCTACAGATTTAACAACATTCTGTGTTGAGCTGCAGTTTGTCAGACGAAGTGACGCATCAGAAAATGTGAAGAAGGCTTCTACTTCTACCAGCTGATATCTCCTTTTTCCATCTTGTCTTGGTCCAGCAGCCCTTCAGTCTCTCAGTACATGAGGTCGGCGGCCCCCCCGGTCAGCTCCAACTCTTTGCTTTCCTGGAATGGAAACTGGATTCCTGCCAGTCGGATCAGCAGGACATTGACTCCGTGGAGGAGAAAGACGAGGAAGAAGAGCCAGAAGGATCGGTCGTACCGTTCCTTGTACGTCTGGAAGACGAAGTTCACCTCATTAAAGTTGGCGATGCGCTCGGACAGATGGTGAAGCTTTACCTCTGATGCAAACAGGATCATCACCAGACAGCTGCACACACCTGCAGGGAAACAGGACCATCACTAAAACTGCAGACTAACGGTTCTCTGCACAGACCAGAGCAGGTAGCTGCTTCTGTTTCAGGCTGTCTCCTTTTATTCCTCGGAGCTCAGACTCTCCTGCCTCAGGTTTGGTTTCCCTAATTGCAGTGATTATCAGACAATGACACTGTAGCTTTAATCATCCACTTTAAACTAACCCCCCCACTTTCTGCACCACGGTTCCAGGTTCAGTGCCCAGAGGGAGCTTCTGACCGGCTGACAAATCCAGACCACAAGTAAATGTTACACATTGGAGGTGGGTGAACTTTCCACAACATATCATTGTACAGCAAATCAATTACAATATTTAGTTAAGTGGATTCAGAAGGATAGTTGTAATAGCTCGTGGATAGAACTAGAACAAAATCAATGCAAAAATGCTTCAGTTACAGACCTCGCCTTCCTACCATACTCAATTAAGAAAATGAACTATTTCAAAAACATCACAATCTCTGCAACTCTGACAGCCTGGTGGAAAGCAAACAAAACCACTAAATCATCATCAACACCATGCAGATACACTCCAATTTGGCATAACCCTGACTTTCCAGTTAATAATAATCCCATCTACTTTCCAACATGGCAACACAAAGGAATAACTCACCTTCATCATCTGTTTGAAAACAACCAGTTTATATCATTTAATACATTAGTCCAGAAGTACCCGATGATTACCTTCATGCTACTTGGACCTGTCAACCCGTTTACTCCCTCTGGGTAGGAGTGACAGAGAAACTCTCCACAACCCCCCATCCCCGTCACTCTGTCTGCTCAGTAATGTCACAGAAGTCGACCACCTACCAATTAAATATAAAAACCCACTTCTTATCTCTCTAACTATTGCCAAGAAAACGATCTTTTTAAACTGGAAATCCAAAAATTCATTACCCATCAACCACTGGACCAACCTTCTTATAGAATACATCACACTAGAGAAAATATCATCCACCCATAAGAATAATATACCAACCTTCACTGACACTTGGGATCCATTTCTAACCTCTTTTAACTTAAACCAGATACCTGAGGCCGAGGCCACACACATTCCCACAAACTCCTAGAAATATAACAAGCTGCTTTTTAACTTCATTATTTTTTACTGTTATTAGTTCTCATTGTCCATGCTACTGTTTTGAGTGCCAGTCACACCGATCAAACCAAATTAAGTGAGAATATTACCTACCCCCCCCCCCTTTTTTTTTTCTTTTCCTCTTCCCTCTCTTTCTAATCATTTACCAATCTATTCATTTCATTTATGCTTGTTTTATGAATGTGTTTACATATATATGAGTGTATACATAAGTATGTGAATGGAAAAGTATATGATTGATATTGCTTTATTCTTTTTTTTTTCTTTATTTTATTACTACAATCATTCCTTTACATTTATACCCTCTCCACTTTCCTAGTTTATTTGGTTTAATTCTTTTTTCTCTTAAGTAATGAATATCAGTCTGCATAGAGTTGGATACACACACACTACACACCTTCACACACACAACTCAATACCCTCAATTAATAATACCTTTGCCTCTTTTGTTAATGCCTGTTGTCTCATTTGTATCAAGTAGTCTGTTATGTGGTTTGTCCTGTAAATGTGTTATTTTGTGTTGCAATTAAAGAAAAAAACAACCTTTCCACAACATAACATGATACTGTGGAGTATTTTTGCCATGACAACATCTGTCTGTTCCCTCACTGATCAGTCTTGTGATCAATCATGTGATCAGTTGAGAGCTGCTGCTAAGCTGGAGAAAGTCACTCATACATGTGTTGCATTTTCGCTGTTTGCACTTGATCTGTGGTGGCACGAAATGTAAAAGCAGCATCACACTGTCAGGAGAAACACCAGTAGAACAGCAGTAAGAGGAGTAATGTTTCAGGTGTGTTGCTTACAGCAGATGGAGGTCCACAGGTAAAGTCCCATGGGGCCTTGTAGCGTCTTGTAGGGTCGGCCGAAGGCGTTGAAGAAGAAGAAGCCGGAGGCCACAGAGGAGAGAAGGATCACAGCACCACAGAAGAAGATGACAGTGACATGGACGCCTGCTGGGACAGCGCTCAGTAGGTCCGGGATGACTGGGAGGGGACACAGAAACGTGCAGGTGGAGCAAGTGAGAGCTCGTGACCTCCACATCAGAACCAGACCCAGAACTGTGCGTTAGTCATATCTGCTTTCATAATGGAGGTTATTATAGGAAACGGAGTAAATGCAGATGCTAGAAATGATCAGCTCATGAGTTGTTCCCTCAACCAGACACAACTTCAGAAAAACATTAGAAAGCACCTTAATGAACGAGGAATAATAACTAGTAGCCGTTCTCTCACCGGTGTGTACTTTTACTTTGTGTGCACTTTGCTACATACAGTAAAAACTGTGAATGCAGAACTTTTAAATAATCTCTAAAGTGAGGTATCTCTCCCATTCCTGTTCGGACCCCTGAGGAGGCCTCTACCCATGGAGAGATATGTTTTTATATGTAATCAGAGTATTTCTTAAGTGTAATTGGAGTATTTCTGCTTTCTTAAATGTAATCAGAGTATTTCTACTTTCTATATGTAATCAGAGTGAGAGCTCCTGCTAAACACTGATGGATTTAATCTAGCTACTCTGGAGGTCGTACCTGTAAGTCTTTGTTAAAAATTTGGTTGGTTGGTAACTACGCAGCTGAGTGAATGAGATCTATGGCCGAGAAACATTATTCTCTAAATATTTCTGAATTATTCCTATCCACCTTAAACTCGAATCACATGGAACCACGGATCCTGAAATAAGAATTATTTGCAATATTGATGTAATTATTGAAATGAAAAAAACGCATAAACTTAATATTTATTCTAAATTTAATTCATACCTCATACAAACTTATGATGCTCTTTTAGGAGAAATATTTAATGTACGAGACCAATAATTAAAGAACAGAGTTAATTCAGTTCCAGACACATAGAGGAGGGTTAGGTGTTAGGGTTAGCGCCGACAGTGAAATTAATCTGTAGCTGTGGAGAAAACGAGCTTCACAAGTTAGAAAAACAATTATTCCTCTCATCTAACTAAACTATTGGTAATAAACTAAACCCTATGGTTGTCCTCTCTCTACACCTAAATGTCTGTAGCCACTAGGCCCGTCCTGTAATACTGCCCCCTAATAACATCCAATAATACTGTTATAAAACCTATACAACGGATACGCGAAATCATGACAAATTAAGGTTTGGGCTTTCAATGTAGGCGGACTCAGGGTAATAAAACAATCAAAGGTCATAAAGCCGATCACACCTACACTGACAGGAGCTGCTTCCTATATCTCTGTCCCACTCATGGTCATTTCTACTGTTGTGACATGAGACACGATGTCTGAGGCTTTTTCCTGTGACTCAGTCTGACAGTTGTGGTTCTGTTGCCGTCGCACATCTGTGTGTGTAAAACTAAGATTTGAATCTTACAGGCTCTAGTTACTTTATAAGCTTTAGTTACTTTTCATACCTGTATTTGCCTTATTTATATATTAAAACTGTATTGATGACAGCCAAATTTTACTGAATTGAAACTTTGGAACTGTATGCTGTAACTTTTGTGAAGACATGATGTCTATACCTTCAGGTAACCAGGTGGCCTACTTTACATTTTAACACAGACCTGTTGGCCCGTTTAGCTTATTCACATAGGCCCGTTTAGCATATTCACCAGGTCCTGCTTTTGTCCTGCAATAACTGTTATGGTTGTCCCCCTCACCAGGAGGGTGATGGAGAACTGAGGTTGGACTCAAGATGGCTGACCCAGGTGCTAGTACAAAAAAAACAGGCTTTATGGAACAAAAACGCAAAGTAACATAACGGGCCATGTACATACATAATCAAAGCAGGGCAGAGAAGGTGAAGGAGACCTGGACGAACACGTAAACAGATAAACTAACAGCAGGAAGGGATGAGGACGGACAAGTGAAAAAAGGGTAGCAAAACAAAAACCGAAAATCAACCGTACAGGGACTGTCAGCGTTATATCAGTATGTATTACGAAACGCATAAATAACCTGACAATAACCTACACAGACGGGGTCTGCAGCGCAGACAACCAATTGTTCAGTATTCATTGATTAGCTTCCGACCTGAAAATCACAACACACACACACACCTGGTTTAGATCACATTTCAGTAAGCAGGCGTGGGCAGAGGTTGACCTGTTCACGCCAAATGGCCAATAGGATTACAAAGCGTGAAATGCTGTACCTCTGTACAGGACGGTCTCTGCCCGAGAAGATAAATGTAACCAGAAAAACATACCTCGTGGTTCAGAGAACAGATTTACTGCGTGAGCTCTGTCTCTCTGATCCCAGCGCTGCCTTGCCTGACCTGTGCCCAGACTTTGAGTAAACTTTGTTGATTTTATACAGTCCTCTCCTGTCTTCACTTCTCGCACTTTCAATAAAAAAACGAGTAAAAATCTAACAAACACAAAGTGTCTGTGCAGATTCTCAGTCATCCAGGTCATAGTAAACTGAAAAAACCTAGAAAAAATCAACTGGACTAGATTTCTAGATCGAAGACGTTTCACCTCTCATCCAAGAGGCTTCATCAGTTCTGACTGACTGGTGTTGAGCTGGAGATATTTATCCCCCTCGGTGGTGTTTCCGTCCTTTGAAGGCCAACAATGTCCCTTAACAACTGAGTCGTTATAGCCCAGTATCGGTGAGAGTCGTTACCTGTCTTTGGATCCTCTCCTGTGGACCAACGCCTATTGTCCTGGTGGGCATGTTTGGGCAGAGATCTCAAAACAGGGTTGTAGATGGAAGACAAGTTGTGTCTTAGTCCACCAGCCCTATTTAGTGAGGGGTGTTCTATTTTTACAAAAATAGCTTCCTTAACTCCTCTCTCAAACCAGCGATGTTCTCTGGAGAGGATCTGGACTTCACTGTCCTCAAAAGAATGTCCTTTGTCCTTCAGGTGGACCAGTCTCTGCCGCAGGGTGTTCCCTGGTTTAAAGTTAACTGGGATATTGTGGTTGTGAAAGATCCTTTTTAACTTCTCTGAAAACCCAGCCACATAAGGGATGACAGTGTTATCCCCTCTTGTTTCTGGTTTCTCCCTGTTGGTGTTGGGCCTCTTCCTTGCTTTGATGAAGGCCCACTTAGGGTATCCACAAGCCTTAAGGGAGTTCTGGATGTGTAGTTTCTCCTTCTTGGCCCCTTCTGTAGTTGTGGGCACTTCCTCTGCCCTGTGATTTAAAGTTCTGATGACTCCCAGTTTGTGTTGAAGTGGATGGTGTGAGTCAAAAAGCAGGTACTGGTCCGTGTGTGTAGGTTTCCGATATACTGCTACCTTCAGGCCTCTGTCCCCTCCCAAGTGGACTGCACAATCCAGAAAGGCCAGGCAGTCATCTCTGGCATCCTCACGAGTGAACTTGATGTTGTCATCCACAGTTATGTTTGGTGAAAGCTTCTACCTCCTGGGTCCTGATTTTAACCCATGTGTCACGTAACAAACACAAACCATTGTTTTTAAACATTTCAATGATTTCCTCACACATATGTTGTCAAACTGGCGGTCCTCGGCCCATCTTTGCTCCTAAAGGACTTGGCCTTTCCTGGACGCCACTGTGGTGCCAAATCACCTGGTTCACATGGAGCCATCATTTCATTGTTTTACCTCATTACTGGCCCTGAAATGCATCTGGCCTGAGTTTTGTTGGTGCTGCAGCATCAGGATTTAAGTGTTTACTTTGAACAGACCCGAAGTGATGATGTGTCACGTCCAATAATGAGCTGCTGGATTGTTTTCAATGTGGTACAAGACACAGATGATTGACACATCACTGTTGTCAGTTTTAACTGTGATTTTATGTACAGTCCCGACTTTTTCTGATTTGGGGTTGTAAGGTCATTAAAAAACAAAATATTAAAAACCAAAACACCATAAAATCTCCTGAATAACCATGAAACCTGGAACAAATGATGCAGATGTGGACTCTGCCAAACCAGCGGAGCAGCAGGGTGGCTGTGTGTCAGCTCATCCATGCATCTGTGTGTCAGCTCATCCATGCACTGTGTCAGCTCATCCATGCATCCATGCACTGGAGGAAGATGAATAATTAGATGATGTGCGGACACGCAACACACGCAGGCTGTGGGCATGTTACTGGTGGGGGGTTTAATTTGGACCAGTCGCTGCTTTGCTTCTAATCATTCGCGTGTGTCTGGTCTGTGCAGAAGCTCACGCAGTGTCCGCTGCGTCTTCTATTTGACGGCCTGGTGTGTGTGTTTCCTGCTCTAAGTTCACCAAAATAAAAGCTTATTGAACTTTTCCAGTGTGAATCCAGCTGGAAGAAACTGCTCAGTTTTGATCTGTCATGGATGCATCAGTTGTGCTACAGCCTGGATGAGAACAGAGCAGCTTTGTCTCCCCAGAACTGGTCCAGTCAGGCAGAAACCTCATTAGTGAAGGATGGCTGCTCTCATTAACTGGGACCAGTAACCACGCAGCTCTGCAGCCCCCACCCAGAGGGGTTTCTGTATACAGCAGGAGGCCGTGGAGCTGGGTCCCCGGTCCAGAAAGTTCAGACCTGCTCCTTCAAGCAGACTTTACAGATGTGGTCCTGTTTGTTTCACACTCAGACGATGGAAAACACATTTGGCTTTGCTTGGTTCCGGGCGTCTCCAGTCACTTCTCAACTAGCGGAATAACATGTCAGTGTTCTGAGTTTTCGTGGCTGCACAGGTCACACGGGGTCTGTGACACCGTCCCCGTTTTAGTGAGATTCTCATTTGCTACATTATGGACTGTATTTATATAGCACTTTCTCGCAGTGTGTTGCACTGGCCAAAGCACTTTACAGGAGGTCATACACCATTCACCCATTCACACACCGATGATGACAGGCTGCCACGCAACGGCACTAGTCAAGCCACCGGAACAATTCGGGGTTCAGTGTCTTGCTCAGGGACACTTAGGCATGCGGGGAGACCGGGAGTCGAACCACCAACTTACTGGTTAGGAGACGACTGTCCTACCTCGTGAGCCACAGCCACCCTACATTAAATCTCAAACCCCCCCTTCCAGACCGGCCAATGTGTTCCTGGGTCTGAAAGTGCGACTCATACCCTGGTCTCAGGCCCGGACTGTTCTGGACTAAAGAAACGCATCACAGGACTGTTACTATATTGTGTGATGTCACGCAGAGCTGTCTACTGTTTTGGTCACTCAGTGTCTCACCAATAGGGCCGCAGCTACTGATTCATGTGTTCATCAGCTTGTCCGTGGGTTTGTGTGTTACGTCACACAATGTTCTTATTGTGTGTGAGCAGCAGGTTCCTGCGCTGCAGCAGCCGATCTTCACGTTCCACACATGGGAGCAGGCAGGGGCGTAGGTTTGGTCTCAGCATTGGTAGGGGACAACCCTTGGCTCAAATACTGGCAGGGACGTGTCCATACCGTCCATATGCTAAACTACACCCTCGGGAGCAGGTTTAGAATCACGACTGTCTCCATCTGTTTAATAAAACATTTCAGACTGTACTACAAACTACAAACTGTCAGTGGGGGAGGAAGTACTTCATGTCAAAGTACAGTACTAACATAAGTAAATGTCCTGCATTCAAAATGTGTGTAAAAGTACAAAATGGTGTAGCCTACTTGTAATATCAACTGTGTTTCCTCGATCTGATAGTTTTGTTGGTCTGGATCTGTGAAGTTACTAAATACATGCAGTAGCTTACAGTAAAACGAACAATGCGCAGTAGCAGTACTCCAGTAAAGTACAAGTAGTCTACTTTGAAACAAACGCCTACAGCTGGACATGTGAGGACAGCGGCTGCACGCTCTACGTTTTCCGTGTAAGATCACGGAGGACAGACTCGGGTGGTCTTTAATCCCATAGGCGGATTTCTCTGCAGCCTGATCCTAAACCTGTCCCCCTTATCTGGCGCCTGAACTCACCTGAGAACCGGGACGGTCTCCCTCCCAGCCCGCACTGCTTCACCCTCTCTCCCTGGAAGAGCCCGTAGCTCAGCTCTCCCAGGAACTTGTTCAGCTCGGGTCCGGTGGCGTTGACCAGCTCGGCCCCGGTCCGGCACAACATGGTCCCATTGATCCAGAACGGCAGACCGGTGGCTACCGCGGCCGTCAGGGCGCAGGAGAAGCCGACGAAGCCGGACACGGAGAAGAGGAGCTGCTTCTGTCGGC